GATTTCCCAAAATGAGTGGTTGTCAAAAATGCATAAATTAAATCAACACAGCATGTAAAAATTAGAGTAATGCAAAATATAGTTTCTTGTAAAAACTAATTCAACAAAATAAAAGTAAAACAACACATTTCCCTGTCTTCTTTAACCCTCCTTTTAAATTCCCTATGTGTTGTTAGAAAATAATACCTCAACATGAATTCTTTACATGAAAAGAATTCTTATTAACCAAATTAAGAAAAGAAATTATAGGGCATGTGTTCTAAATCAGTATGTGAACTGGATGCATGGGCATGTGCTAGGCGAAACCTTTCTAAGATTGTCCTGTCTACCCATCTGTATGGTCTGGTTTGAGGTGGACATGGGGATGAAGTCTGAGGAGAATCACTCTCCTCTGAGCTACCGTAGTCTATGAGTGACTGGTTATATTCCTGTAGCCGGGAAAACCGGAGAGATTGGTGAAGAAATGTCAAACTTAATTGTTAAGTATATTCATTTGTGAAGCATTTCTTAAAATCATCTCCCCTAAACTAAATGTAGCTTTTTCTTTAACTACTGTTTTTTAGGGTATGCAGAGGTTCTGGTTTTGAGTGTTCATGTGTGTGTGTGTGTGTGTGTGTGTGGTGTATCTGGACTTTCTAAAGACTCGTGTCCTTTGTGTTGATCTAGATGGGTTTTCCCACTTGGAGTTGAGTAAAAATCAGAAGTCAATTTTAAGGTAAGTTAGAACACCAGAGAATGAATTTGAGAATTTGAGAAGAGTATCAGATGTAAAGATCTGAAGATAGCAACATTGTTAAGATCTGATGAAAAAGGTTAGATGGGAAAAGTGGGGCAGGGACTCACTTCAGAGTTTTAGGTAAATGTGTGATGCAGAGAAATTAGCAGGATGATGGATGGAAGCTTAGTAATTCAGTGCAAAACATTTGTAGGTAAGCATGTGAGTATTTAATTATAGATCATTCATATGCAAAAATACTGGTTCTGTTGGATGTTTATGATCTAAAATAACATTTTTGGTTGTTTCCCACTTATTGAAGAATGGAGGTTAACAATCAATGGACATTAAGAGTTGAGCATATGGTTATCTTGTGAATCTAGCCCTCCTTTTAAGGGGACAGAACTTTTGGAGTGGCTCTATGTTACAGGGAACCATACCAAGTGACTGTACCATACATAAACGACAGTCTAGCTTCATGTCACTGAGCTTGGATCCAGATGACAGGAGGACTTTTAGGCACTCTTTGTTCCCCATGAGTAGTTCAACTCAACTCAATACAATTCTTTCCAGGTCACTTAATCAAAACAATCTTCTTGGTTTCTACAATGTGTTGTTAGGGTAAGGAATGTTCTAAAACTACTCTCTCCAACACAATAGCCACAAACCCCCACATGTGGTTATTAGACACTTGAAATGACTAGTTCAGATTGAGATGTGCTCTAAAAATGAAATAAAAGATTTTAAAGACATAGTATGTAAAAAGTCATAAAATATCTCATTCATATTTTTTGTATTAATGACATGTTGAAGTAATATTTTAGTTATGTTAGGTTAAATACAATATTAAATTAATTTCATGGTTTTTTTTCCCAATATGGTTAATAGAAAACTTAAAATTACACGTGTAATACACTTGTGGGTCACGTGGCTTTTGGTGGGACAAAATTATTCTAGAGTATTTTGGGGAGAAGATAAGAGTACTTGAAGTTTCCAAGTAGTACTATGAGCTAGCTTATTTGGCTCTGTATGATATTTGTAGGGGGCGTACATTCCACAAATCGCCTTTTCTGAGAATAGGGGAAACTTCCAGAGACGTATACTTGATACATTAGCCCCAAAACCTCCCTCCTAAATCTTTTCCAGTCATGAATGGGTTAGTATGGTAAGTACATTTCTCTTGCAACTGAATTACAATTTAATCAGTTCTTTACAAGAAAATATTAAAAAACCCAAACTATAGCTTTTATTCCCTAGTGAGCTCTGAACAACAGAACTAGCTCAGAAATACTGGACAACTTTGAAAGTGAGTTGGTTTCTCTAGAAAGGGCAAAATCAACACTAGACAGGTGCTAGTTAAACCAGGAATATCAGGCATATTTGGCACGTGCAGCTAGTGATCCTGATAATAATTGAAATGCAAATTGACCTATTTGAAGTGGTACCTGTAGATGATGCATGGGGGTAACTGACATGCCCCAAAGAATATGGACATAAAGGAGATATGACCATCTTCTGAGAGCTCTGAAAACGATGTGAGCACCTGAAAAGTAGGGTCCCAAATTTAAGTGCTCTGGTGTCTACACTGGTATATAAATGAGCAAAGTGGGCAAACTTCAGAACTGGTGTTTAATTCCCCATTGATAGAAGCAGCCAGGATTCTTTTCTGGCTACTGTTTGGCTCTGTGGATTTGGTATTATTGAATCTATTTTTTTAAAATAATATAATAGTTTATTGTTACATCATTTTCTGCCTTTTTCCATCTCAGTTGCAATCCCCGTGGGCTTCCCATCACCAAATCACCTGTGAATCTATTTTTTAAAGAGATACCTTTTTCAGTGATGGCAACTAATTAAAAAAGTGAACTACTTGAGATCTGAATCAAATGGCTCTAACAAATATATTTCCTTTATTTTGCTTCTATAATTACTGAGTTGACTTTTGGTTATATTTGTAATGACAATTGTACTGTACACTGAACGAGTTAAGTATCATTCATAGGCACTGAGCATGTTCCCTGCAGCTAGTCCTGTTCTCATGTGAGGCCATCAGAGATCAGAAAGCTTAACTAATCCGTGGGCCTCAAAGCTACTTTAATGCTAATTTTGGGTCTCCAAGACAGATGTCTGTTTCTAATGCCTCTGCCTTGTCACTAGATGTTCCTGAGAACTAGCCAGTTCTGATAAATCAAAAAACTTCAGGACCAGTTAAGGGTGGATTTGTACTGAAATGTGGCCTACTCATTACCTCTGTCCATCTTCCTTCAGACACTGACTCCTGTAGGTCCTGAACACTGTATGAGTTTTGGTCGTAAGTAATAACGTACATTAAAGTAGTCAACTGGCATTCTCAGTCTAGTCTGGCTCATCTAAGCCTGTTCTTGGAAGGTGGAGCCACTCACTGAACACTAAGTACCTTCCTCTTTAAGCCCGGGAAGTCCCTGGTACTGGAGAAATATCTGGTTACTATTAACAATTTCACTTGTGTAATGATTTCAACAGAATGCATCATTTTTAGTTTCTTCTTTATAAATTTAAGTGAACAGAAATAAGCACCAATAAAACTGGTTTCCCAGTGGAAAAAAACCAAACCTCAACCACAAGGTGTGCTCTCTATGTAAGTGAGCTTAATATGAGATGTGCTACCCAATTGCAACCAAAGGAGTTGCATCAATTCCCCGTCAAAGTAGAAACACCTTGACGCAAATGGGTGCTCTCGAGAGGCACCTTCACCTGCCAGTTTGAGCTTACTGTTTCACACTGAAAACATGTATGTCTTAAGACACTTTCTTTCCAACTGTGTCTGAATCCAATGGAAAAAGTGCAATGGAAAGAAAAAGATATGACAGGAAAGTGCAAGAGACTTGTTAAAGACAGCAGGCAGGTTTGTTCAAGAGGGCAAGGATGTGGTCACTTACTGTGTGTGTGAAAGTGGACAGAATGGTCATCCTCGGCCTCCCCAAGAGAAACCACAGCAAAACTGCAGTCCGCCAGACCGGTTGACGGGGAGGCCGAAGACAAATCTCAGTGTTGCCCAAAAGATGAGAGCATCACGTGAGAGAGCTATTCGGCTGCTGTAGTATTATCTAGCGGCAGTCTAGTTTTTGGACACTGTAGATTTCCATTCTTTTCATATTTTATCCCTGGAAAGTGTGTTGGTATAGAAGTGAGCTGTCGAGGCAGATGGAGAAGGCACTGTGGAATTCAAGTCCAAGACTATAGTAATCCATGGTCAGGAGCAGAAAGTGCTACATGAACCAATGCAAAGCTCCTGCAAATAAGCACGAATTGTGGAACTCAGGGCTCATCTAGACGACATATTGTGAGAATCCCTTGAGTGTCTGTGGTGTTTAAGAATCTTTCTTTTACTTCAGGTGGGTTTCTCTACTTTCTTTACTTGGAAACCCAAGCAAGGGCATTGGCATGAATGTGGAGAATTTAGAACAAGGCATAATTTCACATTTGAGTATATTTTCAGGTCAGTAGAGATAGTAACCCTCAGCAACAAGAGCTGATTTGTGCAGGAAGGAAAAGATAAAGTTCTTTACCAAACTTTGAAAGAAGCAGAGACTTTTACTTTTTCTTTGCCCATTTTTATTTCTGAGTCTTTGTGACAGTAAGAGTAAATTAATTCTTATGGATTTTGGAAAATTGCTATCAAGAACCTCACTGGAAGGTAAACCGTGTCACATGGGGAGAAGAGAGGTCTGTATTCATAGGTTTTTGAATAAATGCCTCTCTTTCATTGTTTATTGCAATTGGGCATTTCTTCTAAGTGATTTACATATGTCAATGTATTTAGTCATCACAGCTTCCCTATGAGGTAGTTTATCTCATTTAACAGAGGAAGAGACTGAAGCATAGGGATGTCACATAACCTTTAGGTTAAAAAGCTGGTTGTGCTGATTTGGGGTTAGAAGCCAGACAACTACATTTGAGTGTAACTTGAAGATACAAAGGAGTCTCATGTCAGGCAAGTAGAGTTTTTGGGGAGGAGTGTCTTTGGAAAAGACACTCTGCTATGAATTGGGGTCCCCAAGATCCATGCCATCATTTGGATGCTCAGCAGGACCTAAACGATGAACCCAAAAGTGAGGACTTCTGCTTGAGGCTGCCGGAGAGAGACAAGGAATTTGGGGGAAGCTTTTGAGATTCATTTGATATTAGTATTTGATCATTAGCCCCCACACAACTACCTTTGCATTATTTTGCGGCAGGGATTAGTCAACACATGAAAGCAGAGACAGATGATTTCTAATCAGCCCTTGAAACCATCATTCCTCACCATATCTCGAATCCCAGATTAGTGCTGTTCACTTCTGGATCATCAAAAGTACAGGTCAGGAAGTGCCGAGACCCATCTGCTTCCAACTGACTATAACAGGAGAAGGAATAGTCGTCCAGTTCCGCATCTTCAAAGTCTCCTGGGGGGAAACAAGCCTGTGGGTATTAGGGGGCCAATTTGGAGTGACATTAAGCAAGTGACAGCCTTTTGTGGCAGATGAGTGGTGATTATTGCTAATCTAAAGAGGGAAAGTCTAAGGTGAAGACAAGAAGTAGTTTTCAAAAGACCAAACCCAAACCTTAATGAGCAGAGTTGTCCAGTCCCAAAAGAATTATCATAACTCATAAATAACCTCTAAATATTTCTGCCACTGGGTGAGTGCATTAGAGGTCTAGAATGAAACAGTAAACACACTCTTTTTTTAAAAAATGTTTTTTTTTTCTGATTGGGTTGTACATTTCCAAGAGATATTTTTTTTTTTAAAGATTTTATTTATTTGTGCATACAGAACTGGGGTACAGGCCAGAGGCTCAGGGGCGGTGAGAGGCTTCACCAGAGACAGAGAGGGGGACAGAACAGGCAGATTGACGAAGTACACTGCTGGGGGGAGCAGCGGGCGGGCCAGGAGAGGTCTGCGGTGCCATGTGGTCACCTCCGGGGCAGGTGGGAATTGAACTCATGCGGAAACGGCTTTAGATTCTCAGTGCTGTGCTTTAACCCGCTGCGCCACCAGGGAGGGCCTCCAAGAGATATTTTATCACCATTATTTATTTACTATCTAATCTAACCTTTAGGTTACTAACCTTCATTTATTCCTTCCCAAGTATTTTTTTTCCCAAGTATTTTTTTAATGAAAGAAAATGTTAAATTGTTTTATATTCAGAAGTTTACTTTTTAGGAGGTGGTTTTCTTTGGCTAAATAGGCATCCCAGCTAAAAGTACCAATGAAGTTCGCCATTGTGTGCATATTTATTTAGGCAATTTAACAAATGACTGAGACTTACGTGATTAGATCTGACATGACTCAGCTCTGATGGATGTCAGTGAGTCAGAGGTATTATTTCAGTTCTTATAAAGCCTTCTATAGATCATGTAGCTAATAGTTACTTGCACAATTCTGGAAGTGTCACATATTTTTGTAGCCACTTATGAAAAATATAATCTATCACATGTATTATCTGAGTGCTTAAACTAGGGTGAGACTCTAAGACCAACTTGAAATTTTGTATGCATATTTCACAAAAGAAATAGTCTCAGCAAATATGCTCTAGTTAGGATTTGAGAAGAGCTAGTCATTCTCAGAGTGGTCAGTGTGACTCTGTGCCCACTTCCAAGTACTTTGGTCCAATGATATTAGAAATTAGATTTTTCTAGGGTTTTTAAACAACATATAGAATACATTAAAATCAAACTCCACTGTCCTGAAGGCCATGGGTCTCCAAATACCATTCCATTATATAATAACCCAGTACATCTGTGAGAAAGTTAGAAAACTTGTTTGTAAGTCTATTGGATAAGCTCATATAATTCAAAAAGCACTGGTCACACAATTTTTTCCTGCACTTAATGAGACTATGTTTTAAGTAGCAACTCATCTGACCTTTTAACAGGTGTTACAAGGCATGATTGCTTTGTAACCAAGAAAAATTCCCTCTCAACTTAACAAATCACATAGCATTGTGCAGAGAGCATGTTATTACTGATGTAAGCAGAGCAATTCTTAGTTAAGGGTAATATGCACATAATTAGGACCTATGGAGAGACATGATCGTGAACATTAGCTATTGTACTTTGTCACTGGGATCCCTCATCAGGCTATTCAATCCTCCAAGCCTTAGTGTTCGGGGGCGTCATGGTAAGTATGAGGAAGCCCTGAATGAATATATTCAAAGGGTGAGAGTACATTGAGCACGCAATAGGGCTTATTTATGACTCATATTTTGTTGAGAAATAAGTAATGAAAAGGTAAAATAAGAATTTTAAGTCTGAGATTATACATGAAAACCTGGGGGCCTCTGAAAAAGATTTCTATGTCTACCAAAGGTTCTATTATGATAAATTTGAGCGTTTTGAACAATGAGTTGGCTGATTATTCTTTAAACGTTCACTGGCTAAGCATATTCCACATAAAACTTTTATTTGAATATACGATGTGGTTTGGAAGTTTACTCTTATTATAAGAAACTGGTTAAAAATATATGCGGTTTGGGCCCTCCCTGGTGGCACAGTGGGTTAGAGCACTGCACTGAGAAGCTAAAGTCACTCCCGCATGGGTTCGATCCCCACCTGCCTAGGAGGAGATCCACATGGCCTGGCAGACCTCTCCTGACCGGCCCGCTGCTCCCCTCAGCAGTGTACTTCAT